CACGGAGTCGCCCCCCTTACCCCACTTCCCGGAAATGCACCGGTGCGGTGGGTTGCACCCATTTCCATCACCACACCGGAATTACTGCACGGTTAGCCCGCTAACAGGTTGCGGCAGGTCGGGAACGAGAACAATGCGGATCGGTTCATCGGGTGAGGTGAGTTTACACATTCGATTTATAGGAACAGAAAGCTAGGGATGGCAAATTTTATACATATATCGATATATTGAATCATTAGATATATCGAAACAATGTATCGATATATCCGATATATCGAAACAATGTATCGATATATCCGATATATCGGATAGAAAATATCGATAATTTTTTTAAGTTAATATGTTATATACTATATGTGTTCATTGAATTTTATTTGACATTGAAAACTCTGAAAAGGCTAAAAATATAAGTATTTCCCTACTTTTCATATTCAACAAAAAGCATTTTTGAATGCTAAAAATGGCGCGCAATTTAAATCATAAATCTAAAATATTTCCTCCCAAACAATGTGGATTCCGAAAAGGCTATAATACTGCGGCTGCGTTATTAGATCTAACAGACAACGTTTTTAGAGCCTGGGATCATCAGATGATCACTTCGTTAGTTCTTTTCTGCTCTAAGGCAATAGACAACAAAAACCATCGTCTTTTGATAGATAAGTGTAATTTTTTTGAATTTTCTGAAACCTCAGTCAATACAATACAGACCGATTTCAGAGGGAAAACATTAATATGGTTTTGTCTCCTAAGCCGCTCAGTTCCTCCGAAGTACCGCCAGGATCTGTGCTCGGACCACTGCTACTCATTTTATATATGTATCTCAGATCAATAAACCGCTGTAAAATATTGCAGTTTTCAGTTCTTTGCCGATGATTATCAAATTTCTAGTCATTTTCGTAGTTGCGACATTCAAACAGTCGAATCAGAGGCCAATACGTATCTTAAATCTAGTGACCGCGCAAAGGGCCGTAACCTTCAGTTCAACCCCTCAAAATCCAAATAAAACCCAGTGTAACTCACAGTGTCCAGACAATATGTCAGAATCCATCAAACCGTTTAAACTGTAAATACGAGGTTCATGGTCGAGATTATTTTTAAAATCACTGATTTTGATTTTACTAAATTTTGGTATATTTAGTCTCACATGCACTGTCAGTACAAATCCATAGACACCTTAATATTAAAATCTATCAAGCCATTCAAGCTGTAGCCCGTGAAATATGAATTTCAAGGTTGATATTTTTTATCAAAATCTGCCATTATGATTTTAGAAAATTTTAATATGTCACTCGCTCTGCTAAGCTAATTCCAATAGCACCATTGATCTCAAAGTACTTCAAGTCGTTTAGACTGTAGTTCGTGAAATCGAATTTTTTCTCCACACATATATTCACGTGCGCAAAAATTTAACCCACCTTTGAAGCAGTAGGGTAAAAATGAAATAAATTACATGAAAGCGTGGTTAAATGATGGAACCTCTACAAAAAGCCACAACAAAATACGGCCACAGAACAAGTTCTCTTAATCAATGTGGAGTCTTTTGAATGTCATCAGATAATCACACGTTTTGCCGTGATAAAGTATATTTCGCGTAATACATTCTAGTTACCTCTAGTTATCTGTCATCTTAACAACAAAGCACCGATATTATATAAGGCACTGTGTGGTTCAATCCGTTTTCTTCTATATTCTGTACTTGGGGAGAGGTGAAAGTAATAATCAGCCAGTAAGTATCACATCACTTACCCCTTGTATATGTCATGTTCAGAGTTTGAGAGTAAATCAGCTCGAACGATGCAATGCACCCATTCGACCTTGTACACACAGCATCTATGTCTCAAGTTACTTTCGAGGTCGGGAATTGAACCTGCGAGCCTTTGAGCCAACGGGCTAGCAGCCGACGCCGTACATTTTTTTAAAATTTAAAAACAATCTAAACACAAGTAACATAAATTGATACAATAACAAACATGATTAAAAAAATTATGACTTCATATTTGAATATTCATTAACGCTATAAAATGAGGAAGCTTGAGAAGCTTGTAGCTTTTGAATGTCCCAACACTCAGACTTAAACTGTAGAATAAGACGACACAATTGTAGAAAGAAGACTTTTGTAGTATGAGGTAGGATGCATCTGAATGTTACCCGTATGCTACCCGTGAAGATTCTATGTTTGCCTCTTATACGTATGTGGATAATTTTTACTGCAGCTAGAGTTATGGTTACTTCAAGCTGCGTCAAATTCCGGACAACCTTGAGTCCCGGTGCGCGACGCACAGCGGGGTTTAGATCCGTCTCTGGATTCATCTCTCTGGAACCATCAGAGAAAGTAATAATTCCGCGAACAAGTTTTTCAAAGATAATGAAGATGAACTTGGAAGAATGCTACTTGTGCCAGCCTGTAGGAGTAGTATGTTAGTAATTGACCTGTTCCACAAGCTGCTTTTGTTTTGCTTTAGTAGCTAGCTTTTTAATCAATCCAGACTTTTCACCCCAATATTAAGGATAAATACAATGTAATATCTAATCAGCAGTATGGGTTTAAAGAAAACGTATCCACACAAAATGCAATAAAAATGCAGTTCACATATAGAAAAATGCGGTATTCCTCAGGGCACGGTTTTAGGACCGATGTAATTTAATATCTACGTTAATGACCTGCTGGTGAAAGGAATAAGTTGTATGGACAATAGTGTAGTCATTTATAAAGCAAAAAATTGGGAGAACTTGAAGGTGGCATGTGAGAAAGATTTTAGTAATATCGTATATTGGTTCAGATCTTGCTTAATAACCATTAAGTATGACAAAACATATTTTATGATATTTTTAGCCTAACACAACAGCACAAACATATCAATGATGAAACAACAAAACCATGAATATAAAATATCTTAGGGTCATAGGGGCACACCTTCGTAGGGACATTCATATTGCAACTGAGAATAATATACGAGTATTACGCATCAATCGAAAGTAAGATCAATTATGGTATAATAGTTTGGAGATCTGCTAAAAAGACTCATACAGATCAGCTGGAGAAAATTCAAAAATTGATACTCAAAACAATACATAATCGACCAAAGACATAGCGATATGGTCTATCTAGAAACTAAAATACTTGCTATTCGGTGAGCATGCTTCTTCCAGATCGTCACAGAACAACTCAAAATAAGGTCGCAATAGATTAACACCACGTATAGTTACGACACAAGAAACAAATATAACTTACGAGTACCATTACCAGAAAAAACATATTACAAAAAGCATACAAATTCTTAGCTTCAAGATCTTATGATTTACTATCACAAGATTAACAGTATAAATAAATTCAAAAGTGACGTAAATAAATGGATACTGTCCAAAGATCGATCACTCTTTCATAATGCGATTGATACGATAAAAACAGCTATGTAAAAAAATGGGACAACAAAATACATAAGTATGACAAATCTAATTGCGAGCGAGATATTAATAAATAAAATCGATGATGTGAGACAAACAAGAGATGCGTCCTAAACGTACCCGCCCATAATTCCGTAAAACTAATAACTGTTCCTTCAAATATATTTTTTTTCTTTGTGTGTGTCTATCGTATCACTGTTAATAATCAAAACTTAGATTTTCGTTATTCAGCATACTTTTGTGTCTATTCATATTTCATTAGCTTCAGTTAATGCACAATCTGTCATATATCATATTATGTATTCGTTAGTAGTTAGCAATTACCACCCACGCACAAGGAATGTACGATCCTTTCTGTAGGAACTTGATTTGTTCGAGTATTTCATGTAAAACTCTCACGCAATTGTGAAAATGAAGACCGAATAAATTTTATTATTATCTATTTATCTAGATGTAGCTACCCTAATGGCACGGACATACTAGAGTATTTCAGTTCGTCGCGCACCTCGCTATCTAATGTTTCACGATGGTCGCATTGTGTTGAACATGCCGTCGCCTTTCTCACGAAGTGTCCTAACTGACAAAATACCGAAAACTGAGATAACCCGCATTATTATTATTCCATGCCGGTTAATCTCACGAAGACGCATAACCACAGGGTGGCCCATCCATATGTGGACGGAATATTACTCATAATATTTTGGGAAAATCTATTTATGGCATGTTATGCATGACATTTGAGGGCACATTTCTAAAATATTGGCCATTATACAGGGTGTCCCAATTTCGACCTACACGTTGTGATTTTTCAAATGGAATGACTCAAATTTTATTGCATATTTGGATAAACTAACTCAAAAGAAGAAAATTGATATAACATACTATGGGGTTTTGGTAAGTAGCTACTGAGATATAAGGTATTTTGTCTTCGGCAACCCCTCAGTCCGCCATTTTGAAATTTGGAGTGCCGGTTTTTTTTTTAAAAAAACTTACATACCTCAGCTTTTACCTCATTTGTAACTTTTTCGAATTTTAATGTTTGCTCATACAGGGTGGTCAAAAACACAAATTGTAGTTTATCTCAAAAATTTCAAATGAAATCACCCTGTATATTTGTGCTAGTTTGGATTCTGTATATCTTGAAAAAGTATAATAACAAGACCTTCAATAGAAATATATTTCAGCTCTATCTGACAAAATGCTTCTGAAAATTCTCACGTGCGTATGCCAATTTTTTCACAAAATTGATGAGCTACCGCACATATTGAAACAGCATATGATCGGCAATTAATATGGGCTGGTACAATGACATTTTCAAATTGGAAATATCTAAACTTTACATACAATGCTCATTCAACAACACGCTGATTTCGTTTTCTAGCTCTCCTGTAAAATTTACTAAACGTTGGTTAGGACACTTCGTGAGAAATCCGACGATATGGTGAATATTTCGTCCTCAATGCTAACGAAACAGGTAGCTTACACTTGAGTCAAATAATGGTGATAACCACCGCAAGCAGAATCGCGATAAGGTGAACTACTCCACCATATGCTTGCTCAAAGGAATCCCTGAGAAAAACCGTTGATAGTACTCACCTCCCTCTCGTTGTTTCCATAACTAATTCCGAGATTTGGCATCGCCCGAAGAATGGCCACTAGAGACTGTATTGTGTTACTATAGACCACCGGTCGATATTGCTTGTGATCCTCTGGAGTGAACCCACTTTCGTGGATAATTCTAGAACAGAAGAAATAACATGTATTATGCACGAATTAATATTCCTGTGCAAATAGGTGCTGTGCAGAAAATTGGCCAGGGTTTAATCAATTTTTGAGCACATTCCGTATTCATATATGATTGGCGAAGAAACAGGGAAGATATTGTACAAGGGAATCCAACAACTTTTGCGACAATAATGTTTTTTTGTGCTATAAATAGATTATTGCTTCCTAATAATATGTCATGATATGGCTGAAGCATTTTGCCGCCATTTTGATAAATAAATATAGAAATCATTCATACACGCGTCGGAAATGCTTCTGAGAAAGTGATTAGTGTCTTTTTAAGGAATCTTATCGCAAGCTAGCGGTACAGACTTCTAGGATTTTTGAATTAATCGAAGATACACATACCAAGTTTGAAGACTCTGTACAGAGTGTGGACTAATTCCTTGATTCATATAAGTATGGGTTCTCAAGGTACAGGCTGAGATTTTTTTTAATTGTTGCGGGATGTGGACATACAAGGTGCTAAGAATCTTGACATATTGTAGGATTTTATGTAGTAGCTTGTAGATCAAGAATCACGATGCTTTACTGGATGAACATATATTTAACGTTGATCGATACAGGGGATATTCAAGCTATTTATCAACGTTTCGACGCAACAGCCGTTGTTTTCGATAACGCTCAAGCGAAGATAAATTGGTAGGTGTCGATGTAAAAATATATGTATGCTCTTGTTTATTCCCAGATAATTCGGAGCGAAAAACAGTTTTAATGGATTTACGTACAAATTCGCTTTTAATCTTCTGGCTCTCACACCTCACCGCTAATGAAAATATATTATGCTCTTTTACATTTTGAATTACAAATAGTATTAATTTCGATATTTGCATCGATGGAATATTGTGTATTTACATTTTAACCGTGAGGTTTCAGTGAATCAAAGAACATTAATTTGTTTTTCTTTCAACGGATTAGCGAGAGATATATTGTGGATGTATACTTCCCACGCCTTTGAAAATGATATATTATGGAATCCCAGAAATGCAGACTATAAGAATAGGAACAACCGAATGGACGCATTGAACATAATTGGTAGTGTATTTGACATTGATAAAGGCGATGTGGAGAGAAAGTTAAAAAATTTAACCTCTCATTATTTTCGGGAAAAAAAGAAGTTCGAACAGTTGCACAAATCTGGTGCAGGCATAGACGATGTACAGAAACCCAAAAAACATGCTATTGCGCAAACGCTGACACCCCACATCATCTTTTTTATGCTCTTCTATCATTACAGTACCGTTCCGCCATTTTCTATTTTGTAAACTTGGGTGCAACCAAAACCTTCTCGTTCTTTTGTATTTTTTTCTTATTAAAATAAAAATTACAACTGCGGCGGCTGTGCTGATGATTTCCTTATTGATTTTAACCAACCAACCATAAAATATGCACTTCAATAGCGTTCTATGTGGCTGTCACAACCGGAATGATGCTTGGCGGCTTTGCGCGGCTTGTATTGCCGGCGGCATAGCCGCTCGGCATAAACCCGGCGGCATTGCCGCCGGCACTGTGTGTAGCAGCTTTAAGGCATAAGGCGAGCGCGGCCAGCGTCGGCGTGCGGTGTCCACAGTGACACGCGAGCTCTTTCACTGGTTCGACGTATTATCAGAACTTCCAAACTTACTAGACAGTCCGATCCTGAGATGGAAGGTGTTGAACATTCGAGATGGTGTGCACAAAATAAATAAAAACAGAGAAACCACTGGTAATTTTTTTAATTTGTATGAAGAACTGAGATTATACTCTACCAATTTTTTTTTAGTACACTCGAATGCCCCAACATATGACTACACCCTAAGTAAAATATCTGTGGTGTGGATGTTTACTTTGCCAAATAGGTAGTTTAGATTGAATTGCACTTATTGACAATTCAGTATCCTGCCATTACAATACAATAATACTCATGCATACGTCGAGCGACAAGACCGAACTGGTTTGTTACCGCCGCCACCGCGCGTTAGGTCGCTTGCTGATTAGCCCCGTAGTGTGGCCACAAAGCGCGGAATAGGAACGTTTGAAAACTACGCGCGCTGTCTCGCTAAGTCCCGTCGCCCTAGGCTTCCGCCTCAGTCACTACACTACACTAAGGACAATAACGCACGAGCCGCAAACCGCGGCGGATGGCGGTCGCGCGGATGTTTATTTATATAGGATATTGTGGCAGACAACGCACTGGCGACCGCGCGAATGGGCGGACGCCGGCATCGGACGCGGAGACCGCGCGGACTTTCATGACGACTACCCTAGCATTCAGCCATCCGGGACGGTTTCCGTAAAGCAATCCGCACTACCCCGCGGTACCGCTCATGCAAGCTTAAACCTGGGTTTAACTAAGCTTGGTTTACTGTTGAACCGCGCTTAGTTGAACTCTGTCTAAACCAAATATGTTATAAGAGGGTTTGGCAACAGCATGACTTTTATAGAAAATGACAATTAATATTCTGTTCTGTGTCGATTTTGGTTTTGTGGTTTGACTGTTGAATGACGTTTTGATCATGATGACAGCATTTTCTGGCCCAAGCCTCAAAAGAAGTTCGAATATCTTAGTAAGTGTATAATATAATGTATAATATACAACTTTTGAGACAAAGGGAATTTATCCAGTTGTAATGTGTTCTAGATCATGTCTGAGAAAAAAGAGCGACAAATTTTAGCAACGCCAAAAAATTTAAAAGCATCGTGGAATACAAAAGAAGTGATTCGAATATTAACAAGAAAAAACAGGAGTGTTGGAAGAACATAGCAAGTATATTTATCTCTGAGAGTAAAGAATGTTACAGAGACCCCGAAACATTGAGGGAAAATATGAAAATATGAAGAAAACCAAGGCAAAACTCAGTTAAGAAAAAACGTATGTTACTGGAATGAGAGGTGGACCACAAAAAAATATAGAAATAACGGAAACAGACCTTGAAATTCGAGATCTTTTTGGAGCAAGGATTGAAGGCTTTCCTTCATATTTCGATGGTGATGCACAATTGTACCACTGTACTCAGCCAAGTTGGTAAATGTGAAGTGATGATATTTCATTAATAAAAGTACAAGGTCAATTTACATTCCAAAAGCCAGTATCCGATACTTCCTCTTGTATTGTCCAAATTTGCGTCCTATACAATTTTTGGTTCTTGTTAGCGACTCATTGAAAAGCTGCTCTGCTCTACCAGTCGGATCTGTCAAGAATGTTATCAGGTAATTCTTCAAAAAGTAACAACTGTCTCCAATCAAAACATTGTTTGCAAAATACCCCTTTTCAAACCTAGGCATGGAAGATCCATAATCAGGTTTCTGCTCTACACTTCACAAACGAATAGACTTTTTTGACATGTTCCTCCGTTTAAGCTATCAAAATTGTGCGTTCGGAAAAACCAAGTTCAAGGCACAATTTGAACGGGGTTTAAGCCTAAACCTCGTTTGTGCAACGCCCACTTGCCGCAAAGCTAGGTTCAAAATCTGTTGTGTACTCGTTTTGTAGCTGTACGTGTTGCCTAAGCGTCATGAGGCTTCAGTTATCAATGTTTGGCTCTGATGTGATGTAAAATCTGCTTCTTAGATGGCATTCCGGAGGTAACGGCAATGCATTCCATTGGATTCTTGTCTCAAATACACTTACTTGAGATTTAAAACTAGCAATTAGTTGCGCATCCAGTTTTTCTTATCCATTCTGGAAATTACATAAGCAAATTTGCCGAATTTCAAAAATGAGAGAGATAAAATTATTCGTTGTACACTGTCGAATTACAAGTTATATACATGCTAACAATAATTACTGACAACGCGAGCGCGGTGGTGATTTCCTGTAATTCTCCTCTACGTTTTTGAAAACACAAAAAAAAACGTAAAAAATCGTAATTTATTGCTTTGAACATAACTTGTCTTCAGAAAGGACAACATATAAATAACCCGTCCGGCACATCTAATAGATATAATTTCTTGGCAGCATATTCAGTAATGATTTTCTCAAACAGCAAATATCACTGATTTTATACACATGCAAACCAATACACACAATCATCCAGATGCGATCTTGCTATTCAACCAACTTTCTGCTAAGAGATGAAAACTATAGACTACTCGGCTTCACAAGACATATGCAATCAACAATGCGTGCAGTTGAGCCATTCCTGATGGACGCTCATAACGATCCTAGTGAGCAAACATGGAATGACTGTTTGCACCATAAAAACTATCTAGTCTGCAAGATGATATTTTATAGTTTTTTTTTGCGAGAGTGTATGGCAGCTATAGAATGGAAGATCTTAAGGCGCACTTCCACTGAGGCAACTTTTGAGCAACATGTAGCATACGGCATTGGCGCATGCGGCACACTGTCTTTCCATAGAGGCAACACAAAGCGACAAAAAAAATGTCTTCTTGCCGCATGCCACAATTTTCCCGTTGTTGCCTCTCGAGGGCGCCGTCGGCGACATGAATCCACGTGTTGATCAGTGTCGCCGGCTATCCAAACCCGTTCGGATCGGTGCGGCTTGTAGCAGGCGACAAAATGGAGTTGACCAACGAAGAAACATTATCTTTAATTGAAGATTACCGTAATTCGGATGAATTATGGAATAACAAATCGGAAAGATATAAAGATGCACGACTAAAGCAGGATAAATTACACGAGGCAAAAATAGTGGGTGGCTCCGACCACTTGCTAGCGTACAGTACCTTCAGTCTTTTAGACGTATACGATTGTTTGCTTCTTGTCCAGCTGTCTCCTTGACTTAGCAGTAGTAGACGAGCAGACATATATCGCACTGACGAGGGCTAGTGAGCCCGAAACAGTACTGTCTGCGGTTGGTTATGGTTTCAGGGGGGACAAGAAGTAAACATCTTCTCATTTTCTTTCCATAGTTGGCTTATTTATCAACGGTTGATTTCTTTAAATAGGAAAATACAACTGTTCGGTATTTGAAATTGCTTGGTTCAGATATCCGAAACAGATACATAAGCGGTATCATAATTTTTTATCATAGGTAAGATTTTTTCAAGTACAAGTACAAGTTGTTGTACAAATTGTACTGAATTTCTTGATCATCTACGTATACAGGGTCATTTTGAAGTTGAGTCATTAATTTTCAAATAATGATTGTAGAAGGAAGATAAACCAAAATATGTGTGTAAAAATAAAAAAAATTAACCTTGTTTTATAAAGTATCCTCCCGACAAGTATTTCAGTGCGGACCTGTATTGGATCGTGCGGTCTTGGAGCACCGGCATGCCCTCCCCTGTGAGGTCTTAAGTCACCTGATTCACGAGCCCTTTGTACTACATTAACAAAGGCACGAGGGGTTGGTTGCACTCGATTGGGAAACCGATCCGCATAAATCCGTGATGCCGCGGCAGCATTTTGTAAAGACTCCCCCCCGTAAATAAGAATCATGTCCATAAGTTCAGCATTTTCGTAAACATCTGACATTTTTATTTCGTTTGAGCCACGCAACAAACACCACTATTCACTCACGCGTGACCGACTGACACATTGACTGAATACAACTGAATAAAATTGTAGTAAAAACATCGTGATAAGCGTTTCAAATTCTTTCGCTTTTTTGTTTCCGATGCGATGAACTGATAAGACGGATTATATCCGTTGTTGCCAAACACGAGCACTTAATATTATTATTGAGACAGGGCGGTACTCAAACTTCTAAAAGGTTATAACTTTGTCACTTTAATTTTACCAGAAAAAATGTGAAAAGAAAAAAACATTTCTTTTGATCAGATCTACTCACTGTTAAAATAAATGACTCAACTTCGAAGTCACCCTGTATATTTCTTCTCCAATATTCTGGCGTTTCACTGTTTCTTTTCCTAAATTAACTAAATAGCAGCCGCCGCGACTGTCTGTTATGACATGGCGTACTAAACTGGAGTTGAATTGAATTGAAATGAAGACGCATGCTTCCCTCACGTACGACAAAGCGCATGCCCCATAGGGGAACAAAATCCGCATGCGGCATTAATAGAATTTTGGGCAACACTGTCGAACGTCAACAAGAGGCAACACTAGGAAACAAGCAGCATGCCACATGTCGTTCATTGTTGCCTCCGTGGAATTACGCCCTTAGTTGATAGGCTAGTCACCACCTTGACCACAAGAGTCTGACGATTCTAGCGGTGTAGTAGATGTAGGGCCGATTTCACCAACATTATTATTATGGACCAATAGGAAAATACCTTATCGAAATGCAATTCGACGAAAGCTGTCAAAGGTCTCAGAATATCAGCGATTTCTATTAAAATGTTGAATAAAATCGTGAAAATTCGACTGTATTATAAACAAGACCACTTTTTGATTCCAACATGATGCTTTTGTACAGAGAAAACAGTACAACTTCCATGTATTTTGATTTATGCTATAGGTGTACATTTGACCATCCGTTATCCCCTCAGCAAATGGGAATGGGAGAAATAATAAGTCGATTTTCTAGCTGTTAAATTTGGCAGCAGGTTTGGTCGTTTGTTAATTCATAGCAATCTCGAAATTTGTTAAGTTCAATATACAGTGTGTATATGTGATCATTATAGCTACACATACCTGTTGAATTGTGCGGATTTGCAAGAAAATAGAATATAAAATGTATTCCAACCAATTCCTCATCTCTCTTTACATCACAATAGTAATCATTTGTTATAAATTCATGGGTTAATGAATTTCTTCAAAGCAGTCAAAACAGTATGTCGTCCCCATCCTAAAA